TTTCTAACGCTGATATAGAGGAAGGTTGAGCACGCGGAAACAACAAATTGCCAAAAGAAAAGTGGGAACAAACTCAATTCATGTAATCTCTAAACGAAGTCAGAACTTGGCTAACACCACAGACAGATCTCTAGAAAACATGGATCACGAGTCCTGATGTCGTTTAACGTGGTTCTTTGGAAATGAGAGTCTCGACTAGTGAATTTTCGACGCGACAAGAATGCCATGCACAGGGTACTTGTATCAGGTCTATTCACTCAGTGATAGAGACATGGTATAATGTTTTCAACCCATTTTCGAGTAAGTTTCCAGAAAAGTAGAAAAAGCTGACCAATACAGAATACATTCTGTTTTCGCAGCAATTTTTACTTGTTTCTTCATTGAGGGTTCGAAAATGGCAAGGAAATATGATCGTTCACTAGCACAAATATCGTTAAACTTGCTACTGAGAGGTTCGCAGCCATTCTATAAACATATTTCGAACCATCGTCATTATTCCTATAAGAGCAAGCAAATTTTATGTCAGTTTATTCTGGAATACGCATCAAGCATTTTATTAGATTCATACTGTAGCTACGAATTCGTTCCATACATCTCCCACCAAAGGTTTGCCTTCACCTTTGCGCCTGACAAGCGAGAGGCGCTTTCCAGAACACTAATATTATGTTCACATGAATTTTTCCTAAAATTTTCATTCTGCCGTCATATCAATTCTGCTGACTCGCCTCAATCAGAAACATAAATAACTTCTCTTAAGTCTTTGAATTCCACCAGTTTCGCCGTGCAGTTCATTCAAATCTGAATTTGGGCATCATCACTCCACTTCAACAACGATTTCTATTCCTTTAATCTCTATGGATTATATTCCTACTCCATAGCGCTTAGAATTTTTTCTAACCTACTTTTTCTTTGCATTAAGAGATATGCTTGCTGAACACAATGAACACAATGGAGCTTACCTGGTTACGTCGATGTCGTGTTTCCTGCTATATATATAATATATAAGCATATATGTATTGTAACTTTTCATTTGGCCTTTATAACCAGTATATCCTCACATCCATATGCGCTGATCTGCTGAATTTACCATTTTTTTCAGCTATTGGGAAAGTAAACTCCACTCGTTTAGGGTATGTAAACATTTTCATAACCGCGAAAGAATAAAATAGCGAGCTTAAGTGCTATCTGTGGAATCGTGTTTCAAATAAGCTGTTTTAAGTCCGCATGCATTTCATACATCAAATCCGATTGCTTCAGGATCTCGTCGTCTTAAATTCCTACTAAATCGATATTTCATATCATATAATGGCTTAACTAATAATCTCGCTCTCTGCTCACTTTGAGCAATCCAACACTTACATCATAAAATCCGTACTGGTTTTCTCCCGTCAATGATGAAATTCCGGAACGATTTATAAATCTAGGCCAGTCAAAAAACTGAATAGCTACTCACAGTGATGACAACTATGAAATTTAGTGACTAGAACATCGTTTACATGTTCTCAACTTTGGAGTAAAGCTTTATTTGACGTAGCTGGTAAGAATATGTGCAACAATTACCGAATGAGCCCCCGCTTTCTATTTTTTCCTTTAAAAGTTAAGAATTCTAAGTAAATTAAAATCAAGTTCCAAGCCAAACAGCTCGCACACAGTTGTAAGATGGAGCATAGAACCCGAGTAGAAGGTAATGATTTTTATAAAACGCGAGCTAAAATTCGGCGCCAGCGAAAATCGGTTTGGTAGAGAAGATACCTAATTTTTAGATCGGTAAAAAAGTAGAAATATCTCGAATAAGACGTACGTAACTTAATCGACGTAACTCGACCTTTCAAAAATAAGCTATATCTTACTTGGTATTTTATTCTTTCTCATTTCGCGTGGCCCCTACACCAATGCACGAGGATTCAATAAGTGGACAATCAACTATCAGAAGGGAAACCCTGCTGCGGTTCTGTGATGACAATTAGTTCCGTGAGCAATTTCTTTTCGTAATAAATTGGACGATGGGTGCTGAACTGCTAGAAGTAGTCGGTGCGTCCAGTCGCTCCCATACCCGAAAACCGGAGCCGTCGCGGGCACTTCACTCGGCGACGCGTCCTCACTCCGCTCGCGATGGTCGCGCGACCTCCACGGCGCGCCCGGCAACCGCAGCGCGTCCGCGACGCGACACTAATCGATCGTGACTTGCCGCGACGCCGCGAACAATCTGCCTCTCACCAAGCACTGGGGGGTCTGCAGTTTTTAATCGTGCGGGGCCGACCACCTTCCACTTCCCGATGGGATGGAGCACAACAACAAGCATCTTCTTCCCGGATTCCATCCGGCTTCGTTTCCTTCGGCATTTGCAGGTTTGACCTCAGCGTAGTTGTCGTGATTCAAAAATGATCGAATTCTATCGCGAATACGTACGTTGTGTGTGGTCGTGCATCTGTTCGTGTCATTTTTATTGGTATTCGTGAACAAACAGAGGTAAATTGATGGCTTTCGTGAAAATTGTGTTTGTCAGCAATCGGTCGAGTGATCTTCACCGATAGGACGAGTCACTAATCGATAAGCGCATCGTGTGCCATCGGTTCCCACGTTTTTTTCGGTATCCTGATTCATATCTACGTTCATCATTTGGTTGACATGTTATGCTTTGGAAACCCCAGATGAGCATTTTTCCATCTTTGTGCAATATTGCCTAGTTCTTCCTATCTAAACACATATATTCGTAGGACTCATAACCTAAAGGTTTATGGTGCTGTACAGAGTTAAACCGGTGTCTTACGGCGTGGAATGTCTCTGGACTAACTGCCCGTTTCAGTTTAATGGGTTCCAGAATTTGTTTTTCTCGGACTGCATAAGGACAGTTAGTCGAAAGGCGATCGAAGTAGTAGTGAGAGCAGAAAAAACGATTCCCTACACTTAGTGATTCAAAAGAAACCTTTTTTTTTTAGTGAAGTTCACTGACTGATCATTCGACTAACGACTAGCTGTTATATCATCCGTGCCATTACGACAATTGTATGAAATGTACGACTATAAGGAACATTGAAATGGACTCAAGTAGGCTGCGAAATACTTCCAAATGCAAGCTGGCATTAGTGTATTTGCATAGTGAACCATAGTAACACACAGTATGTACAGACCTACATGTCAGTCGTGCCCATAGAACGATAGTGCAGAGCCTCGTCTACAATGTTGTCATGTCCACAATCTCCAGAGGACTCTGGTTAATGGCAAATTTGTCTTTCGTTGTTGAGAAACTAGAAAATCCTCAGCCGGCGAGGTACTAGTCGTATTCCGATCGGGAGCCACGCTAGACGTCCATTATGGCTTAGTGCCACGTTCCCTTCCACGAATCAGAACAGAAAGCGAGATCGGTGTTGATCGACCACACACCTGCTGCCATAAGGCACTTGCTTATTTTATGCAAACACTTTGTCACTATTAAGTTTCTCGCTACGGACTCCACATGATCTGGTCTACTTGCCTGAAGTTGATTGAAATTGCGTGTATTATCCTCTAGCGTAGTAGTGCCGGCATAAATTAGTTACTATTTCCTATAAAAGCATATGTTCATGTATCTAGTCGGTTCGTATAATTTCGTTCTTTTTCCTTTTTTTAATATGTACGAATGTTTTTTTAAAATTTTTTTCAGTTCTAATATGACTCGTCTTCACGTCTGCTCTGCTGATTCCAGCACCACTCACATTCGATTCGTGCCCCTTATCCATCATCCATGAGGATCTTCTAACTTTTACGTGTGACTTCGGTTGTTGCTTGAGAATTTTCATTCCATCTTGAATGTCGTAGAATCCTGGCCGAGTTCCAACCCTTCTCCCTGGGTCCTGAGATAGCCTGGCTACAACGTTCCCAATTGGATTGCAAAGAGTGATTTTTTTTTCCCGGAGAAGTCTGGCAGCAGTTTTTCGACCCCGGAGGGATAAGAGGCTTGTTTGGCGTGAAGCGGAATCGAACTAGCACCATGCTGTTGATGACCGACATCACTACCACTGTGCTATCCGTCCGCTATACGAATGTGTTAGAGGATGAAAATACAACTTTAATCTGTGTGAAGACAATACGTGCATAAAAAATTTACGTGGTATCCTCCTAAATCTTCACGCATTCTTAAACGTTATATTTCTTTTAACTTTGCAAAGGTCGTTTTTCCTTCCCTTTTAAAATCAACACGTTTATTTATTTTGAGCTCGGCATCTGAATAAACTGAGGCTTTCAAGTTTACAACACAGTGGCTCATTTCGTATTTCTAGATAGTGCTTGGAAGCCCAGAGTATTTGCTTTCAGTGTATTTCTTCATTGTGTGGCTGGTCTACATTATCTTTGATGAGTCTTCCCATACAAGTATTGCTGAAAACAGATCGTTAAAAATGGATTGCTTAGGGATATTGTCAACTCTTATGAGATGTTGAGAGTATGTGCTGCTGTTATTTTGAAGCGAAAACTTGTTAGCATAATTTGATAGTTTGAATAAGCCAAATCCACTTCGAAAAACAGATTTTTTTTGGTGGAGTATATCGAAATATGCCGTAGTTTTACGATATTTTTAGCGTGGTCTTGCAGTTTTAAATAAGCATGTCTCAGTTCGGATTGAATTTTACTAGGACAAGAATCATTGGAGTCGATAGGTCTTTATCAGTCAGATGCAATTTCACTTGTTCTACTACGATATGATTCTGATTCCTTTTAGCACACGGAATCTGTCCTTTTTTTTCAAAGTAAAAACTCATTTATTAAAGACGAAAGCTATTGAATTTTAGAAAAATTTTGGTTATGGACGTCTAAGATTGGGAGAATGTCTTCCTTTTTATCTTTATTTCATAGAAACTGAATATGCGATTATGATGACAGAGCCGAATCTCTTCTTATAAATTTGTGAAGTCTTCAACTCATTGAGAACTTAACTGAGCGAAAAATTATCGGCAGTTGTTGAAGAACTGACTTAAGACGTTGTGTGTTAAGGAGGGATTACCCTGAATTTTAATTAGTTTGTAATGGGCAAATTGTGGTCAGGTTTGTCATCGATTTAAGGTTATTCTTTCCAGTAATCATATAAGTTGAAAACAGTGAGTGGTGTCAAAAAACCTAATAGGGTAGAATTTGAATAGGATTCAGAGTTAATGCCTCTTCCAAGGAGAGTTCTTAGATGGAAGCGTGCGATTTCATTTGAAAATCTGCCAAAGAGCAATTTTATGATGAATTCTGGCCAGTATTGTAAGGAAGTAGTTAAGCAGCCACAAAGTGAAGAATTTTCTCCTTTTTCTTAATCTGACTCATTAGATTGTCATTGATATTCAGGAATTGCTCAAATTGTTTCCTAATCTTTTGTAGTACACGGTATTCACTTATGCTTTTAATTTGTTAGCATTTTACCATTATTATTATTGTTATTATTATTAATGTGTCGTTTTCTTGTTCAGCAATCGCGAGGTTTTTAAACAGCATACATTTACTTCCATAAAAACACAATACAATACAACGCTAGCTGACGTTTCGGCAGTATCGCCTTTTTCAGAGCCTGGAAGGGTATACTGATATA